CCAGGCACAGCACCCCCCGGCTCAGCACCCCCAGGCTCCGCACCCTCCGCAGTAGCACCCTCAGGCCCAGCACCCCCAGCAGTAGCACCCCCAGGCTCAGCACCCCCGCGCACAGCACCCCCAGAGTCAGCACCCCCAGGCTCAGCACCCGCAGCAGCACCAGAGTCACCAGTAACCTCGACCGGGTCAACGGCGTCTACCTGGGACACACCTGAGGGGGCAGGAACCTGAGGGGGGAGGGGGTCTACCGGGGGGGGAACCGGCACAAGGAAGTCCGGGGGAGGGGGGAGGGAAGGAGTGCGGTAGGGGAAGAGACGGTAGAAGGGGACTGACTCGTCGAACGTGACGTCCTGGGAGGACAGAACACGACGAGAGGAGGGGTGGTAAAACTGCCACCCTGGGGCGTCAGTGGGGAAGCCAAGGAAGACACAGGGAGCAGCACGAGGGGACAGCTTGTCCGCAGACAAGTCGCGGACAAACGCCCGAGATCCCCAGACACGGAACACAGACGCATCGCCAACCTTCCCCGTCCACAGCAAGGCTGGGGACATCGCTGGCCGAGAGACCCGGGGGTGAAGGTTGAGCTGATGCGCCGCGTACCTCACCGCAAACGGCCACAGAAAATGGGGGGCAGCCGCATGCATCATGGACGTACGAGCGACATCCATGACCATGCCAATGCGGCGCTCAGCAATCCCATTTTGCTGTGGTGAGTCCGGAAGCGTGAAGGTCTGGCGGATCCCCCGTGCACGACAGTAGTCTCGCAGAAGGCGAGAAGAGAACTCCCCGCCTCTGTCAGAGTGCAGACGCAGAACAGGAAAGTCCGAGCCGAAGCTCTTCCTGAGCTGGAGACGAGCCTCGCGGATCCAGTCGATCAGCACCTCAGTGACTGCACCCTTGCTGCGCAAGGGGAGGACTGTGGTGTAACGCGAGTAGTCGTCAACCACCAACAGGAAGTAGCGCTCGTACCCCTGCCCACGGACGGGGGCTGGGCCCCACACATCCATGTGAAGCGTCTGCAGGGGAGACTCTGTCGGGGGGAAGTGGGAGGAGTGAGGAGTAGCCCGGAGGCGACCCTCGACACAGGGGACACAGGAAGGTCCTGGCCCGGAGGGGAGAGGAGGGAGAGACTGGGGAAGACCAGAGACAAGGACACGGGAAGCCATGCTCCGAAGACGGGGCAAGGAGGGGTGGCCAAGACGGTGGTGCCACAGGAGAGTCTCGTGAGACAGGAGGCGACAAGAACAGGGGGCAGACTCAGGACCTGACCGGGACGCAGCAGCAAGTACCTGACTCGACGCAGCCACCTGACCAGACGCAGGGACAGGAGGAGACTCAACGGTCAGGGTGTAGAGACTCGACCCCGGCCGACGTGAGAACGTGGCCAGGTGTCGGCCTGTGCGAGCCTCCGTGCAGTGGGTCACCCTCTGACGCGCAGGAGTGAACTGGTGAACACCCCCATCCTGCAGGTCCGCTCCACTCACCAAGTTCGTAGAGAACGAGGGAAGGTACAGACCCGACAGGGTGCCCGAAGGGGCAGCCGGACACGGGAGGACAGTGGAGAAGTGAGACAGGACAGGACCCCCAGAGGGGTCAGCAAGGGAGACCGCAACCGGCCTGGCGAGCGGCGAAAGGGTAGTGCGGTCTCGAAAGAAGGAGCGCGAAGCTCCGGAGTCAAGTGTGAAAGTGAGGGAGGACGAGGACGACTCAGTACCTGAGAGCGCAGTCTCACCAGTACCTGAGAGCGCAGACGCACTGGCACCTAGAGCAGCAGCCTCACAAGCACCTAGTGCAGCAGTACCAATGCCCGGGTCGGGCTGAAAACACCGGTAACCCTCATTCTCCTCACTATAATCCACAACATACATAGCAGTAAGGATAGCATCAAAATCAAGATCAAAGATCGCTACACCAGCCCTGAGAAGCTCATCCCAGCGAGGGATCTCACTAGCCCCAGGGAACTGCTGACGCCAAGCGTCCGTCAGGCGGCCAAAGCAGCGCTGGGTGGCGTGGGCACCCCCACACTGCTCACCCGCGCGGTCGCCGGAACGAAGAACGTAGGTGCAGGGACCAGTACCCCCACCCCTCTGACGCCCAGCGTACCACTCACGAAGCTGCTGAGGCGAAGGGATGTCCCGCGAGCGCTGCTGCTGCTGCTGCCGGTGCGAGCGCTGGCCACCACCACCGCCGCTACGCTGCTGGGTACCACCCCGACCAGCTCCACCTCCTCCACCACTACTGCCTCCTCCGCTGCCGCCTCCACTGCCTCCACCTCCGCCGCCTCCACCTCCGCCGCTGCCTCCACCACCACCGCTGGCACCACCACCACCGTCTCCGCCGCCGCTGCCGCCACCACCACCACCACCCCCGCCACTAGCCCCGCCGCCACCCCCACTCCCTCCGCCGCCACCGCCGCCACCGCCACCGCCCCCTCCAGCTCCACCCGCGCCCTTGCCCCCCTTGCCCTTGCTGGAGCGACGTCTCCCACTAGGGGCAGACGCCGCGCCGACCGACTCAAGACCAAGCAGGTCGGCAGCAGCAGCAGAGGCAACAGAGGGCAGCAAGGGGGAAGGAGAGCACCCCTCAAAGATGGGGGTGCGAGGGTCACCACGAGAAGCACCTACAGCGACTATGCTCTTCTCCGCTGCAAGGAGGGCCTTCTCGAGGAGGTCGACGGTGAGAGTGGTGGGACAGACTGCGAGAAAGTGGTCCCTGACGACGCGAAGGGAGTCAGGGAGGCGTGCGACTACGTAGTAGAGAGCGATGTACATGGGGGGGGGGTTCCTAGCGCAGAACTCAGCAGGAAGGGCGGCGCGGTAGCGAGTGTCACTAGTGCGGAGGTGCGTAATGAGGTCAGCGACAGTGGGAAAGGCAGAGAGGTCAGGAAAGAGGTAGGGAAGCATGAGACGGCTCAGTGCAGCAGTGGCAGGGGAGGAGTAGCGCGCAACTACAGCGTCGTACAAGGTCTGAGCACTCTTGTACTGACTAAAGTGCGCACGCTCAGGGGTAGGGAGGTGGCGACGCACAGCAAGACGTGCAGCAGCATCGCGGGTGGCCCACTTAGAGCGGACAGCGGGATCAGCATCAGCAGCAGGGGCAGGAGAGGCGCCAGAGGTGAGGTCAAAGAGAGAAAGGTCGTCAGCCCTGTCGCACTGTAAGAACAGCTGCAGGTCGTCTAACCAGACCTCAAAATCAATGGCGCGACCCTCAGCGTCAAAAGCTAGGACACTAGGGGTAGCCATGGTGACGACAGCGACGCAGTGCAAGCAGTAGGGAAAGAGCTCGCAGTGTCAGTGGGACAGTGCTCACCAGGCAGGGCAGGTCGTGCAGTCAGCAGAAAGGCGGCTCAGCGACCGGGCGGCTCGGGTGCACAGCTGCTCGGCTCCCGGGCGGCTCGGCGGCTGGGCGGCTCGGGCGCAGGGCGGCTCGGCTCCCGGGCGGCTCGGCGGCTGGGCAGCTAGGGTGCAGGGCGGCTCGGCTCCCGGGCGGCTCGGCGGCTGGGCGGCTCGGGTGCAGGGCGGCTCGGCTCCCGGGCGGCTCGGCGGCAGGGCGGCTCGGGTCCCTGGCGGCTCGGCTGTTGGGGCGGCTCGGCCGGGAGATGCAGCGTCGGGCCGGCAGGTGCAGCGTCGGGCCGGCAGGTGCAGCGGCGGGCCGGCAGGTGCAAGTGGCGGGCCGTAAGAGGCGGCGGGCCGATGGGTGCAGCGGCGGGCCGGTAGGTGCAGCGGCGAGCCGGCAGGAGCAGCGGCGGGCCGGCAGGGTGCAGCGGCGGGCCGGCAGGAGCAGCGACGGGCCGGCAGGGTGCAGCGGCGGGCCGTAGAGTGCAGCGGCGGGGCCGTCGGCAGTAGAGGCGAAGCCGCGTCAGAGGAGGCGGCTTGGCCGCGTCAGGGGAGGCGGCGGGGCCGCGTCAATGGAGGCGGCGGGGCCGCGTCAGGGGAGGCGGCGGAGTCGCGTCAGGGGAGGCGGCGGGGCCTCGGCAGGGGAGGCGGCGGGGCCGCGTCAGGGGAGGCGGCGGGGCCGCGTCAAGGGAGGCGGCGGGGCCGCGTCAAGGGAGGCGGCAGGGCCGCGTCAGGGGAGGCGGCGGGGCCGCGTCAGGGGAAGCGGCGAGGCCGCGTCAAGGGAGGCGGCGGGGCCGCGTCAAGGGAGGCGGCGGGGCCGCGTTAAAGGAGGCGGCGGGGCCACGTCAGGGGAGGCGGCAAAGCCGCGTCAGAGGAGGCGGCGGGGCCGCGAGTGAAAAGGCGACCCGAGGGGTCGCTAAAAAAAAGGGCGCGCCTCGGGGCGCGCGTCGGTGGGCCCAGACAACGGTCCTAAGGTAGGACCCGCTCTATACCATGTGAAAGTAGGAAAACAGGAATGAGTGAACTATGAATGAAAGCAGTACAAATATGAAACCCTAACTGGGTTGTACCCCCTATGGGATACCCCACTACAGCCTACACAGCAGTATAAGCTATAGATATGTTCTGACAGGTGGGGCAGGTGGTGGGAATGAGCGCAATGGGACCAGCAGCAGCAGCGGTGCAAGCGCCAGCAGCAGTGAACTCGCTGCTACAAACACCTCCAGTGGCAAGTCCAGTGGCGGCGCTAACTGCAGGAAGCGGGTGGTGGTGCTGGGGTCGGGGTGGGGCGCGGTGAGCTTCCTTAAAGCCATAGACGCGCATGGGTATGACGTCACGCTCATCTCGCCCCGCAACTTCTTCCTCTTCACGCCGCTGCTGCCAAGTGTCACCACGGGAGTGGTCGAGGGCAGGAGCATCGCTGAGCCAATCAGGCGCATCCTGTTGAGGGTGAGTTTCCCGTCAGTCAGGTGCTGCCAGCAATGTCATGCAATCAGTGTCATTATGGAGTGCAGTGTCATTATGGAGTGCAGTGTCATTATGGAGTGCAGTGTCATTATTGAGTGCAGTGTCATTATTGAGTGCAGTGTCACTATGGAGTGCAGTGTCATTATGGAGTGCAGTGTCATTATTGAGTGCAGTGTCATTATTGAGTGCAGTGTCATTATGGAGTGCAGTGTCATTATTGAGTGCAGTGTCATTATTGAGTGCAGTGTCATTATTGAGTGCAGTGTCATTATTGAGTGCAGTGTCATTATTGAGTGCAGTGTCATTATTGAGTGCAATGTCATTATTGAGTGCAGTGTCATTATTGACTTATACCTCCCTTTTCTCCCGCTGCCCCTCACCCCACTCACCTCCTCTTCCGCCCATCCTGAACCTTCCTCTCGCACTCCTATCAGCACGGCAGCACAGCTCGTTTCATTGCAGCCAAGTCCTCAAGGACCTCATTGGTCACAATTGGAGTTTCAAGGCGGTGCCCCCCCTCACTTCCGACTTACCACTGCCTGCCCTCCACATCCTCCCTGCGCCCACACCACACTCAACCCCTTGTATCCCTCCCCTCCAGACCCCCCTGTGCTGGCAGCACGGCAGCTTGGCGCGCCTCTCGAGGCGGAGTGCACGGGCATCGACCCCCCAATCGACCTGCAACTGTCTGCTCTCCCCATCCACCCCGCCCTCATCATACTCACTTGACCCTCTTCCGCCCCTCCCCACCCTCCCCCCACTCCTCCCCCCCACCCTCCTCCTTGTTGGCAGCATGGCAGCTTGGCGCGCTTCCTCGAGGCGGAGTGCACGGCCATCGACCCGCCATTCGACCTGCAACTGGCTGTGCTGCTCCCCACCCCATGCACCCACCCTGCCCTCATGCATGCCCTCCTGCGCCCCTCCTTGGGCTCCCCTTCCCTGCTCGCAAGGCCGCTTCCTCAAGGCCGAGTGCATTGCCATCCACCCCTCATTTGACTCGCAACAATCGGCTGTTCTCCCCATTCACCCACCCACCCCGTCCTCATACTCTCTTGCGCCCCTCCTTTTCCCACCCCTCATTGCTCGCAGCACGGCAGCTCAGCGCGCTTCCTCGAGGCGGAATGCATTGCCATCGACCCCGCCTCCAAGACCCTCTCCTGCCGCGCCCCTGCCGCCCTGCCCCCTCCGCTGCCCGTGCGGACTGTTGCAAAGGTTGGAGGCCAGGAGGAGGGTGAGAGGGAGATGACACGAGGAGCTCAAGGAAAAGGTGGTGGCGCTTCTGGTGACGATAGTGGTGCTGCTGCCGGGGGTGGTGATTCTGCTGCTCCGAATGGTGGTGCTGCTGCTGGGAGTGGTAGTGATGCTGCTGCTGGAAACGTAGCTGTTGCTGGGGGTAATGCGGGAGGAGGTGGCAGCGAGAGTGGTGGCGGGTGTGGCGGTGCCAGGGAGGGCGGGTATGGGGGTGGCAGGGAGGGCGGGTATGGGGGTGGCAGGGAGGTGCGGTTCACAGTGCCGTACGACATGCTGGTGGTGGCCGTGGGGGCGGTCCCCAACACATTTAACGTGCCGGGCGTGCAGCAGCACAGCCACTTCCTCAAGGTGAGCTTCGATCACAACGCCCTGGGCACTGGGTGAGTGTGCTCTTGGCACTGACGTCCTTGAGGACACGCAGGAGGAGTTTGAGTGCTTTGCTGCCGCTTTGCCCCATCTAGTGTCCATGCTTGTTGCCCCTGAGGGAGACCCGAATGCACCAGACATCCCGATCCCACGCTCTTACGCAGAGGCGATGGCCGGTCCCTACTCCTCTCAGTGGCAGTCGGCCATGGACACAGAGATGGCTTCCTGGAAGTCCACAGGCACCTACGTCGACGAGGTTCCCCCACCTGGGGCGAACATCCTTAGTGGCATGTGGATTTTCAGGGTGAAGTGACCGCCGGGCTCTCCGCCTGTCTTCAAGGCGCGCTACGTTGCACGAGGCTTCAGTCAGCGAGAGGGAGTTGACTTCTTCCACACCTTCTCCTCGACCCCAAAGATGACCACTCTTTGGGTTCTGCTGCACGTCGCCACTCAGCGTGACTACGAGCTCCACTCGCTTGACTTCAGCACCGCTTTTCTACAGGGCAGCCTGCACGAGGAGATCTGGCTGCGCCGTCCACCTGGCTTCGCTGGGTCGTTCCCTCCTGGTACCCAGTGGAGCCTCTGACGGCCAGTCTACGGTCTCCACCAGGCGCCTCGTGAGTGGCACGACACACCGAGGACTACACTTGCGGCTCTTGGGTTCACACCTTCTACTGCTGACCCATCGTTGTTTCTACGCACCGACACCTCACTGCCGCCGTTCTATGTCCTTGAGTACGTTGACGACTTGGTCTTTGCTACTGCTGACACTGTGGCACTCGCCCACGTGAAGTCGGAGCTGCAGAAGAGACACACGTGCACAGACCTGGGTGAACTGACAAGCTATCTTGGCTTGCGGATCACCCGGGACAGAGCACGCCGCACCATCACCTTGACTCAGTCACACATGGTGCAGCAGGTCCTTCAGCGCTTCCGCTTCACGTACTCCTCGCCTCAGGCCACTCCTCTGCCTACCGGTCACTCGCTCTCAGCTCTGCCTTCAGATGAGTCCGTAGAGTCGAGTGGCCCGTATCCAGAGCTTGTGGGTTGCCTCATGTACCTGATGACCTGCACTCGACCTGACCTTGCATACCCTCTCAGCATTCTTGCACGCTATGTCGCTCCCGGCCGTCACCGAAAGGAGCACATGGATGCAGCTAAGAGGGTGTTGCGCTACTTGTGCACTACGTCGCGCATGGGGCTAGTGCTTGGAGGGCGAGTCCCATTTGTTCTCACTGGGCACTCAGACGCTTCTTGGGCAGACGACCAAGCTACTCAGCGGTCGTCTCAAGGTTACTCCTTTAGTCTTGGCTCTGGTTCAGTTTCTTGGCGTTCTACTTGCTCTTCTTCTGTTCTCATCTCCAGTTGTGAGGCTGAGATCTACGCCACAGCCATGGCGGCCCATGAGCTACGCTGGCTCACCTACTTGCTCACCGACCTCGGAGAGCAGCCTCGTTCTCCTCCAGTGCTGTACGTCGACAACAAGGCAGCCATTGCCTTGTGTGAGGAGCACAGACTGGAGCACAGAACGAAGCACATTGCTCTGCGCTACTTCCTTGCTCGAGAGCTACAGCAGCGTGGTCAGCTTTGCCTGCGTTACGTTGCCTCTGAGGCCAACACTGCTGATGTGTTCACCAAGGCGCTTCAGCCTTGTGACCATCAGCACTTTTGCACTCTTCTAGGCCTTGTGCCTACTGGACCTCACTTGCTTACTTCTTAAGTCTGTTTGTACTGTGATCTCTCTATATATATATACCTGCATGTTTACTCTTGCTAGGTTGTGATTATTGTACCTTTTGCTCTATTATCAACCTGCATGTGAACTGGTCTTGTGACCACTTGCTTGTGCTCGGAATTTGTGTGGTATCCTTGAGATCCACCATGAGCTTGTTTTTTGCCTTGCTTTGCCTTGACTGGTCTTGTGACCCCTAGTTCTCCCCCACTTCGCCTATGGGGGTGTGTCAAACATTATATATGTTGTTGTGCTTGTTTAGACTACAGTGAGTTAGCCTGTAGGGGGTACACAATTCTAGGGTTAGATATTTGTACTGTTTTCACTCTTAGTTCATCCCTTCCTGTTCAGTTCTTTCAACACCCAGGTGCTGGTGAGTTTGCGCTCTCAGGTACCGTGTCGGCTTCGGCCTCCCTCACCTTCACACTTGACTCAGGGGCTTCTCGCTCCTTCTTTCGAGACCACACCACACTTACGCCGCTTGGTCGGCCAGTTGCAGTCTCCCTGGCAGACCTCTCTGGGGGCCCTGTCCTCTCTCACTTCTCTACTGTCCTCCCGTGTCTGGCTGCTCCCTCTGGCACCTTGTCTGGTCTTTACCTCCCCTCGTTCTCTACGAACTTGGTGAGTGGTGCTGATCTGCAGGATGCGGGGGTTCACCAGTTTACTCCTGCGAGTCAGCGGGTGACCCACTGCTCTGAAGCTCGCACAGGCCGGCACCTGGCCACGTTTACGCGCCGGCCGGGGTCAAGCCTCTACACCCTGACCACTGAGTCTCCTCCTGTCCCTACGTCTTGCCAGGTAGCTGCGTCAGGTCAAGTGTTTGCTGCAGCGTCCAGGTCTGGTCCTGAGTCTACCCCCTGCTCGTGTCGCCTCTTGTCTTAGGAGACACTCCTGTGGCACCACCGTCTTGGTCACCCGTCCTTGCCTCGTCTCTGAGGCATGGCTTCCCGTGTCCTTGTCTCTGGTCTTCCCCGGTCCCTCCCTCCCCTTCCTCCGGGGCCTGGTCCTTCCTGCGTCCCCTGTGTCGAGGGGCGGTTCGGGCTGCCCCTCACTCCTCTCAATTTCCCCCGACAGAGGCCCCGCTGCAGACGCTTCACATGGACGTGTGGGGCACGGCCCGCGTCCGTGGACAGGGTCACGAGCGCTACTTCCTGCTGGTAGTTGACGACTACTTGCGTTACACCACAGTCTTCCCCTTGCGCAGCAAGGGTGATATCACTGAGGTGTTGATCGACTGGATCCGCGCTGCTCGTCTCCAGCTCAGGAGGAGCTTCGGCTCGGACTTTCCTGTTCTGCGTCTGCACTCTGACCGAGGTGGAGAGTTCTCCTCTGGCCTTCTGTGAGCCTACTACCGTGCGCGAGGCATCCGCCAGACCTTTACGCTTCCGGACTCTCCACAGCAAAATGGGATTGCTGAGTGCCGCATTGGCATGGTCATGGACGTTGCTCGTACGTCCATGATGCATGCGGTTGCCCCCCATTTTCTGTGGCCGTTTGCGGTTCGGTACGCGGCGCATCAGATCAACTTTCACCCCAGGGTCTCCAGGCCGGAGACCTCTCCAGCTTTGCTGTGGACAGGGAAGGTAGGCGATGCGTTTGCATTCCGTGTCTGGGGATCTCGAGCGTTTGTCCGCGACTTGTCTGCAGACAAAATGTCCCCTCGTGCTGCTCCTTGTGTCTTCCTTGGCTTCCCCCCTGACGCACGAGGGTGGCAGTTCTACGACCCCTCCTCCCGTCGTGTTCTGTCCTCCCAGGACGTCACGTTTGACGAGTCGGTCCCCTACTACCGTCTCTTCCCCTACCGCACTCCTTCCCTCCCCCCGCCTCCGCTCTTCCTTGTGCCAGTTCCCCCCCGCTAGACACCCTCCCCCCTCAGGGTCCTGCTCCTTTAGGTGTGTCCCAAGTAGACGGAGTCGAGCCGGTCGAGGTTGCTGGTGACTCTGGTACTACTGCGGGTGCTGAGCCTTGGGGTGCTGACTCTGGGGGTGCTGCGCGAGTGGGTACTGGGCCTTGGGGCCTGGGCCTGGATGTGCTGCGCGAGTGGGTGTTGGGCTTGGGGGTGCTGGGCCTGGGGGTGCTGAGCCTGCTGGTGCTGAGACTGGGGGTCCTTCCCCTGGGGGTGCTGAGCCTGGGGGTGCTACGTCGGGAGCTACTGAGCCTGGGGGTGCGGAGCCTGCAACCGCTGGACCTACTAGTGTGACGTCACTGCTGGGCCTGGACGGTCTCCGGGTGCTTCGACTCGGCAGGAGCCACTCTCTCCAGAGGAGCTGCGCGAGTGGTTTGCCCGGCGCTGGAGGCGTACTGCTGGAGCTGCTGGGCCTGCGAGTTCGTCTGGAGCTGGAGTTGCAGAGGGTGCTGGCGCTGAGGCTACTGCTGTCAGTCCTGGCGGCGGTCTTGCTGCGGGTGCTGCTGGTGCTGCTGGAGGTACTGAAGCTAGACGTGCTGTTGGCGCTGGTGCTGCCTCTGGGGGTGCTGGTGCAGTCCCTGCTGTGCCTGGAGTCGCCGCACGGTCTCGAGCGTACTTTGTTCCGCTCCTTCAGCAGTTTCTTAGTCTTCCTCCTCCCTTAGAGTGTCCACCGCATGTCCAGTCACTGTCACAGTTACCGCCAGCCTCCCCACAGCCTGCTCCTTCTCCCTACACTGGTCCTACTAGAGGTCTTGCTAAGCGTCGTGAGCCTTTGTCTTGTCCTGCGTTCCCTGTTTGTACTGCTCGCGCTAGTGGTCGCGGTTCGCGTCAGCGTCCTCCTCGTGTCCGTGGCATGCACCGGATGTCTCTGCGTCCGTCCACTGCTCCTCTGCGTGCCCCTTTGCCTTCTCCTCCTGCGTCCTCTCTTCCTGCTCTTGCCGACCCTGCGTCGGACTCTCTTCGTGCTGCCAGTCCTACTGTCACGCGTCTCCTTGCTACTGTCGTCAGTGACCCCTCTTTTGAGTCCACTGCTGTGTCTGCTCTTGTTGCTGAGCTCGTCGACTTTGCTGCTCGCTTTCGTCTAGACTACGCTGCTAGTCTCGTTGCTGAGTCTGAGTCTGTCTGTCCTCCGTCCGTCGGGGGTGAGTGTGCTCTTGGCACGGACGTCCTTGAGGACAGGCAGGAGGAGTTCCAGTGTCTGGCTGCTGCTTCACCTCATCTCGCGTCCGTACTACTTAACCCTGAGGGAGACCCGGATGCACTTGACATCCCGACTCCGCGCTCTTATGCGGAGGCCGTAGAGGGTCCCTATTCCTCTCAGTGGCAGGCAGCTATGGATGCAGAGATGGCTTCTTGGAAGTCCACAGGCACCTACGTTGA